AGAAAAATGCAGCAACTGTTATTTTTGCTTGTTCTGAGCTCTACAGGAAACTTATACATCTTCAACTCAAGAGATAAAGGGAGGGCCCTTTTGTCCAAACCGATGGTATGAGCAACTGCCACTGATAGTAAGGCAACCTAGAAGAGGAAGCGGTTATAAGGAACAGATATTCAAGGCAGGGTCTTCCTCACCTAAAGCTGTTCTGGTTATTTACTCTGGAATCAGACTAAAGTGAAACTGTCATCTTGGCTAAAGAATTTCCTCAAAAACTCAGAGAAAGGATCTTGTAAACTATCTCCCATCTTCTCCACTTACTCTGGTCTTAGGAAAACAAAAAGAAGTCCAAAATGTCCTCCTTCTAGGCAGAAGCTGCTTTCTGAACATTTATGGCAACAAAAGACTTCCACAAATGCCTGAATATCAGAGCGAAACAGGCCCTTACCCAGAGCAGCCAGATTCCTAGAATTCTCCAGCATGACTTCTCTGTGTAAGGCTCTCTGGCTAGAATCCAACAGAGCCCACTCCTCCTCCGTGAAATACACAGCCACGTCCTCAAAGGATACAGAGCCCTGAAATTCAAAGGAAATGTTACTCAGCACAGACATCCTCGAACTTTTTCTTCCACATATCCAATATCCTAAAAGTAAGTTTCTGTAAGACAGAAAATGCTTTTTTTCTGACACAATGTACTACTAGGTTTGATACCTGCCTCTCCGACAATCCATCTGTCTGGTTAGAATTTCTTCCTACCACAATTCATTTCGGTGAAAGACTTTGAAGAGGTACGCCATTTTGTCGCATTTCTTTCTGTGTGAAAACTTTTTTTTTTTTTGCAGAAGCTACCATTTTGATGGAGTAATAACTCCATACCTCATGTATTATCACTTTTCACTGAATCTGCTTGAAAAAGGTTGGGGATCACTGTGCTAAAGGACTTCCTGCTCTGATGACGGCTCCTTATTTTTATTTATTTATTTTTATTTTGTCAAGTCATTATAAGATAACGGGTATAAGTATAAACATAGTTATGAATACATGAAATGGATACATATAAGAAAAATAAAAAAATAAAAGAAACAATAGGACAGGGATGGTAGGCACGTTGGTGCGCTTATGCAGGCCCCCTACAGGCCTCTTAGGAAAGGGGTGAGGTCAATAGTAGACAGTCTAAGGTTAAAGTTTTTGGGGTTTGGGGAAGAAACCACAGAGTCAGGTAGAGTATTCCAGACATTGACCACTCTGTTGCTGAAGTCGTATCTCCTGCAATCAAGGTTGGTGAGGTTTACCTTGAGTTTGTATCTATTTTGTGCTCTTGTATTGTTATGGTTGAAGCTGAAGTATTCATTGACAGGTAGGACATTGCAATATATAATTTTATGTAGTATACCTTACCTGAGCTGTTGCGGCTCCACCAGACAAAGGAGATGTTTCAGCCATTTCCGATGACAACCTTGTGTTCCCTATGATCAGGATAAATGGAGATGGACAAACAATATTTGGAAGATGGTTGAGTCAGCTATTGGGGAATTAAAGGCAGAAGTATGTGTAGGAGGGACGCTCAGTGGCTAAAATGCTGAGCTTGTTGATCAGAAAGGTTGGCAGTTCGGCAGTTCGAATCCCTAGCGTCACATAATGGAGTGAGCTCCCGTTCTTTGTCCCAGCTTCTGCCAACCTAGCAGTTTGAAAGCACATTAAAAAATGCAAGTAGAAAAATAGGGACCACTTTGGTGGGAAGGTAACAGTGGTCCGTGCATTTAGTCATGCCGGCCACATGACCACAGAGACATCTTCGGACAGCGCTGGCTCTTCGGCTTTGCAATGGACTTGAGCACCGCCCCCTAGAGCCAGAAACGACTAGCACGTATGTGCGAGGGGAACCTTTACCTTATGTGTAGGAGAAGCACAAGGACTGGCCACAGAAGTAATCTTTCACTTACGTGGCAAGAAGTCTTGAGTTGGATCCTCCTCTGAGAAGCCCAACAGCTGCTCCACAGAGAGAATAGAGAGATCTTCCCCGCCTTCAGGTTGTCCTGTGGCCATCTTCATCGGTTGGCCCTGCCATTTAAAATATAGCCAGGATGAAAGAAGAAGAAATCTTAAAACAATGAAACAAAAGAAATGGACGGGGTCTCCAAATCCGGACCAAGTTATATATCCATAGTTGGAGATGCAAGCTCTCTTTTTCCTCCCATGGAATAACCTGGACAGGGAACCAGAACTTTGGGGCTGAAAATGGAGGGGAAAAATAGTCTTTTATTGTTACGCCTTGCATTTGTGTCTCCAAAGCTGGACTGTATT